TTTTTTAGTCTCAGAGCCCCATTTTCCTAGCAAACCTCCCATATGGTAAACTTTATACGAAATTATCGTTAATACTAATTTATTGATTATTTTATATTAGGCACATAATATTCAAAACATTCTCAACAATCTTCCTACTTATCATACATTCTTAAAAACTTATTATATGGCCATTTACAATATATTTACCAAAATTATAATATACTTCATACTTATGATAATGCTAAAAGATTTCAGTGGATTAAATTTGATAATTATATTGGAAAGTAAAAGGCATTATTTATAATATGTTGAAAAATTATTGAAAATAAAAAGGATCTTTATAATAATTCAGTTGTTTATTGCTTACGGAGCAGGTAGCTTCTTCTTCTTTGCAAGAACATGCATCAGGTCCTATAAAACAACTTTTTTGCGAAATTTAAGAGATGTTGTTGCATTAGGCTTGTTTCTGAATTTTGAACATCACAAGTGAACAGTTATGATAAATTACAAGGTCATTTACTATTTTTTCAAATGATCTCTGTCATTTTGACTTGAAATATATAATAAAAGTGAGGTTATTTGAGGTTATTTGAGATCATTTCAAGGTCATTTGGCAACACTGCAAGTGAGAATTTAATAATTTTAAAAAATTTTTTTTTTAATATTTACTGTATATTGCGAGCCATAGTATCCCCCTATGTATTGTATTTTTACTCGAAAAAAGTTACATTTTCTATTGTTTTTATTATTTAGAAATCCAATTTTAACCAGAAATTATGCATTAAACCAATATACGGTATTTAATATCATTTATTTATTTTACAGATTTGCTCCCGATGTAAAGATAGATTTAAATATCCACAACGTTATTATGCTTTGAAAGTTTGCAGTCGAATTGTCTAACTATTTGGAATTGGAATGTTAATGCTGCAAGAAATATTAGAGATGTTTTTAAACGTGTAATAATGATGGATGTAGACCGCATATTTTTACTAGAAAACTCATCGAACTTTTGTGAGATTACCTAGTTCTCAGTAGCGCATATATATTTATTTATATTGCAAGACTAAGTTGTTTATTAGTTTTGAAAAGCGTTATAACCGATCTTTTTATTATCAATAGTTTATGACAAAATTTATCAGTAAAGAATGAGAAATATACCGGAAATATACCGGAATATTAGATATGATCCTTTCAAAAAGAGAGAAACAAGAAAAACTTTATTATGTTTCAGAATCTATTTGTTGTATAATATTTAGTTCAAATTAATAAATAAAATAATTTAATGATTTATATATCCAAATCATGTTGGAAATAGTATTTTCGCATTTCATTATTATAAATTCAATTTCTTGATTTTCTCCCATGGGAACTATCAAAAGAAATTTTCGATTTAGCAAACATTGCAAATTTTATATTTAAAAGTGATCAAACAAGATAAGTAGAATAATTCACCTCCTCTCGACCAAAATGCCCATAAGCGGCAGTCTGTTCGTAACTCCAACCGTCTGGTTGATGGAGCTTAAGTTGTTTTACAATTTCACCTGGTCTCAAATCAAAGTTCTTCTTAATGATATCCAATATTTCCGAGTTTGTCTTGGTTGATGTACCATAGGTATCAACGTAAATAGAAAGAGGTTCAGGAACTCCAATAGCGTAAGAAAGTTGAACCAATATACGACGTGCCACTTTAGCTGCAACAAGAGATTTAGCAATCCAGCGAGCTGAATAAATCCAATAATCATATTAATAATAATTTCACTATTTAATAATTATAATGAAAAGAAAATAAAAAATATATAATTTTTTTACCGGTATATGCAGCAGAACGATCGACTTTAGACCAATCTTTGCCAGAGAAAGCGCCACCACCGTGAGCACCATGACCACCGTACTGAATTATCATTTTTGTTAATACAAGATTCAGTGAAAAATAAATCCATGACTTAATAGAAAAACTTACCGTATCAACAATAATCTTACGTCCTGTTAAACCAGCATCACCTTGTGGCCCACCGATAATAAATTTGCCAGAAGGTTGTAAATGATAAGTAGTTGCTTTGAGAAATTCTGCTGGAATAACTTTTTTAACAACATATTCCTCTAAATCAGCTTTTTGTTGTGTAAGTTCGACGTCGGGAGTATGTTGTGTTGAAATTACGATTGTATCCACTTCAAGAGGAACTAAAGCACCATTTTCTTTCTTATAGCGTACAGTAACTTGGGTCTTGGAATCTGGTCGAAGCCTAATGTTTATATTTATAATGATTTGCACAAAGGAAATGAATTTTTGATTCGGTAATGAGATAACCATTTACGTATGACAAACTTACCACTTAAGAGTTCCATCTCTGCGGAGATCGGCCATTTTCTTGTTTAACTTGTGAGCTAATACCAGGGAAAGTGGCATTAACTCGGAGGTTTCGTCAGTAGCATATCCGAACATTATACCTAAAGAATTACAAGTGATATTAAACCAATGATTGATCTTATTGATCTAATTATTAGGAAAATAATAATTTTGATTTGTACCTTGATCACCAGCACCAATATTTTCAAGTTCTTGACCTTTCTGTACAAGACCTTGAGCGATATCTGGAGATTGTTGCTCGATAGCTACAAGCACATTACAAGTCTTATAATCAAACCCTTTAGACGAATCATCATAACCAATACGTTTAATGGTATCTCGGATAATCTTTTGATAATCAAGAGTTGCCGAGGTCGTAATTTCTCCAAATACGAAAATTAACCCAGTCTTTGTTGCTGTCTCACAGGCTACCTTGGAATAAGGATCGGCTTTAAGACAGGCGTCCAAGATGGCATCTGATACTTGGTCAGCAATTTTATCTATCAAGGACAACGAACAAAAGTTGTAAATATGATTAATCAGAAATATACCCATTTTTTCTTTTGTTTTAAAGAAATACCTACCAGGGTGACCTTCACCAACGGACTCTGAAGTAAATAGAAAAGTTTCTTCGTTAGACATTATGTTTCGTTCTTAAATATAAATAATATAATCGTTTTTTTTTTTTTTTTGAAAAAAATTCGCAATATTTATACAATTTTTTTTCTAGATCAGATAATCGTGAAATGATGCATGTAATCTATTAATTGCGCAATTTAAACGTATCACGACATCAAAAACCTGTCTCCTGCAGTGTTT